TTCTTATCCCTGTGAGTCTTATTACAAAACCTGCAGAATTTCGATATCACCATTATTTCGGGAGATATCGCAATGGGTAAATCCTCACGGGACACCCTGTATATTATGTCTCTCGGCGTCTGAAATATTTTGATGATTCAAGTTCAACGGGTACAAGCGAGTATAAAATATAAAATATTATTAAGCTCTTGCAAAATATAAGAAGTTTGATGTGCGCGTGGAGTGGGTTTTATTGGTGTTTTTCCGTTCACRTGTGTCAACTACTATCACGAAAAACACGAGGGTGGRTGGCTTCACAATTATAAGATTGTATGGAATATARATATTTCAAATACACGAATGACGCGTAGGAAATCGTTTAAAGACGTTGTTGACCACGATTCACTGTGAAAATAATAATAATTAAAGCGCACTGATGATTGCATAGTGTATACCACTTATAATATATMACGTTAAGCAATGACGTGCGCATCAATCGATTTAAAAATAGGTATTTGATATTGTAATTTGTAATAACTTTACGACCGTTTCGAATTTTATTATCATTAATTCAGTAATCCACAAATTGTATATGGCCAATGTTATCTCATGTGGCTCGTGATGTCGTATATGAGTACGATTGTGTACAACTATAAAGGTTAGGCAAGGTAAATGGGAAATACTTTAATCATATATCCTGACTCTATATACCTTAAGTACCTATACTATTTCAATACTTCTTAGTTCGCTTTATAATATTTTAATAATTTATTGTTTAACGCACATTTTGATCATAAAATTTCCTAAAAAGAACTATCGTTGAAACCTTTATTTGAACATAAAAAATTGATTCACAAACTATTATCTGTTCACGTTGCTTGTGGTACTGATAATATAATAGTTAGGTATACAAATCAGATAAATAATTAATCGAAACGATTATCCATAATAAGCGATATATACGAGTATGAGTATATAACTGGAACATTATTAAAATAAGATTATGTTTTGGTACCTAATTTACATTTATTCCAAACCGTACTGTTGAGAAAACATGCCTGTTTAATTAACATAAATAAATGAATAAATGAATAGTATTTTATAGGTAATACAATTTCTCAATACAAGCGGAAAAACATAATGATATTATAATCCCACTTATTAAATTACACGTCGTTATAATGTTTCCCAAGTATTCTTAAGTATGAATTATTATATATGTGTATAAATATATATATATATATCATAGTATTACATTGGATAAATGTATTATAGTTAGTAAGTATTATATTTACAAAATAAACGTACGCTTCACATATATGTATACATTTTATGTCACGCCAAGATTTTATGTGACCTTTAACTTTTTGACTTTTTCTTCTATAAACTACCATAGTTATCAATTAATCGATTGCACGATATAKATACTTAAATCATTATGTTTAATAATTTATATGTGATAAATGTATATATGGCCGAGTCAGAAAGATTTTTCTATATTATAAAAGCACTTCTATACCAAAGTTCAATATAAATTATAATATGAAATGCAGTGCAAAGAAAAAAAAGCGGGTAAGTAGATTACTGTAATGGATGGTATTAAATTTAAATTCAATGATATAATACCATTATTCATTGTATACGAAAAACTATTCTGAGTGGAGACGGTTTGTCAGTCTAGGTCTAGGATATGTTATAGGTACTATATTAATTATTATGTTAGTATTTAAAAAAAAAAATGTAGTTACCAATAAAATATATTCCAAAATATTTATTATTATATATATTGAAAAAATTAGAATATAAAGTATGCTCTAGAAATTTCAAGTACGCACAATAATATTTTTAAATTAAAACTATATAACTAAAACTKCGTTATTCTTGGTTATTTAATACGTAATTTCATCCGAATTCGAACTAAAGATAACTATAAAAAAAAACTGTTAGTATATAGCTTTTAAATTTTTTTGTTTTGTCGCAGAATTAACTACTTATGTGGAACTTTGTTTTAAAATTTAAATCCCTAGCTATAAAAGTTCATCGTGTTATAAATTTTTAACAACCAAAGAATTTGTAAATTATCAATTAAATAAATATCAAAATTTAAACTTTAAATTAAATGGTTATAAAACAAAAAAACTTGGCCATATATTTTTAATATTTTCTAACTGATATTACATAAACTTATGGGGAAAATAATGAAATCAAAATGTAAAAAAGTAAAATGGCCCTCGAGTATTCTTAAAAACTTCAAAAATAAGTATTCAAATAATTGCAATATTATAGCAGAAAATATAGGTAAACGTGCTTAGTGAATACTAAATATACATCCTATATACACAAATAATGGATACCTAAAGGTACCTACCTCCTATATCACATAATATATATGCACACAAACGAACCGTGTTAATCTGTTCCGAAACATTTTACACGTCAGTTGCATAGGTTGGGTAAAAGTGACGGTTGCATATAGGTACGACAAAATAATAATAATAATATCATCTGTGCAGCCATGGTCGCCGCGGGTGCCGATCGTCGACCACAAACATTATTATACGCACCCGCCAGATGACGGACACAACCCGGCGACGCTGGCTGCTGATGTAAACGATAATTTTCGAAAAACATTGTTTAAAAAACCAATTCGTTTAAAATCTCTGTACGTGTTCGGACGTGATTTCGGATGTTTTTTTTTATCGTTTCTGACCGTCAAGCGCATCGGAAAAATCGGTCATTTTAATTTTATATTACGAAAAAAAATCTAACGTTCAATAAGTTCAGAAAAAACTCTACAAACACCAATTACTAAAACACAATGGTATTGAGTAATAAGTACAATATTTATATGGTAGCACAAAGATGTTCAAGTTTGTGGAACGGTATAATATTGTCTTTGTCCATATTACAGTCGCGATGTCGTTATAAATCATAAGATTCGTGTGTAATAATATAAATACGTTTAGGTACTGTAGTATACACTCACGTACATAGTTACCTATGTAATATTATGCAAGCACGATGTGATACGATGATTTTTTTTCGAGATAAAGTCGTGAAAATATGTCAACCTAAAGTAAAAACGCGTGTGCTTTTTGAATATTGTGCATCATCCTGATTGTTATATAAGTTATACATACAAACAAATGTTCTCGATTTGCTGTTAGTACACACTTATAAATAATATATATTATACGAGGAACCTTAAAAATATTTACACGCAYGTCGTACGAATGCGTATTACAATCGTACCTAATAGTATATTGACCATAACCACCGATGAGACCATGGTTAAGACCTTGATGGTGGTAACCAGCAGCTGTTCATATAGGCACTGTATATAATATACGATTATCTGAATAATATCGTATTATAATATGCACATACCCTCACGCGATAAATTACATCTATTGAACGAGTGGCCAGACAATTTCGTATCATATTTTCATTATTATKTTTATGATTATTATTATTTATTAGTAGTAGTAATAGTACTAGTGGTAAAAACAACACGACAAATCGCATCAGAAATTCTAAACACCTATTGTATTATTGCAATAAGTTGTAATCTTATTATTTTAATTAACATAATGAAAACTGTAATTTATTGTAACTTGTGCAATTTTYGTAAATGCTGTTGTCTTTATATATAATATTGAAACTTATGAAAATAAACGATGGCGGACCGACGGGAATGCAAGGCATATGCAGTTCTTCTACAATTAAGATAAAAAAATAAATTTTAAAAAAGTAGTAGTAGTAGTAGTAGTAGTAGTAGTAATTGTATTCAAAATACGTATCTGGAATATCTAGTCTGACTGTCTGAGTGTGCGGCTATAAAAAAATCCACTTATTATTACAATAACAGACTACATGTGTTTGGAAAAACCCGATGGAACGACAACCGGAACATAAATTTAATGTATGCCACATACCGGAGTGGTGGTAAGCACCTGTATATTATACCTGTCAGTGGCGCGCTTACACGGTCTCGGGCCCCTAGRTCCGGCRCGGCCGTCCGCACCAGGACCGACAACACCGACCGGCTAGCGGCCACGGCCTCGCCTCCCTCTGCTCGCGTTGATTCGAGTGCGCAAAACAGATATTTCGAGCCAGCGGAGACACGCGACGCCGCCCGTTCGTATTACAAGATCATCGAGCATACGTGATCCGGCCACCCGACGCGTATCAGTCTCCACAAACTTCTGGCGCGGCACGGTCGTCGTAGCGCGCAGAGATCAATAATCATAACATTATTATCGGCAGTATCGATTCGCATATTTTATATCACGCAACGTACTTTTTACGAAGTGCCGTTYAGTGTTTGCACTCAATATTTTTTTTACAAATATAAACGTGTCGAGCTCGCAAGTCGGTAATTGCACACGAAATTGCGAGCTATGAAAACGTTACTATGGTGCTGCTGTTGGACGCTGATGTTCGCGTCRATGTTGYGGCCATCCCTGTCCACGCCAACGACGACGAACAGCTCGGCCGCGGAACAGGATCGACGACAATTGCACGACGTCGGAACATCTCAAAACTCCACGGCCATTAAGGCCTCATCCTCGGTGGACGATGACGATAATAGCAGTCGGGCCTCTGACTCGGGAGAGTTGATCGGTGGTGACCGCGGTGAAGATGACGGCGGCGGAGGTGTCATCAGCGCCGACGAAAACGCCGCCGACGGCCGGGTGGCCGAACTCTACGAGGACCTCGAGGATTCGGTGACGTTCGACAACTCGGACGGCCACGGTCACGATGGCGGTGCGTCAGTCAATGACGCTACCGCGGATCACCAGCCGCTGACCAACGTAGACGGACCGGTGCCGGCCGCAGCCGACGGGGGCGAATCGTCCGCGTCCGCCGAGGAGTACGACGCAGCCGCGGAAGACGCATCGCCCGCCGGCAGTAGCCCCGTCGGCCACGCGCTGCAGCGGTCGGTCAAATATCCAGAATACGTACGGTCGTCTAGCTACCGACGAGGGTGGCCAGGTGGCAACGTCACCAGGCCCGAAGAGGTGTTCCGATTCTGGGACCCGTACGAGTTGACGGCCACGCCTGCCGTGTCACCCCAGTGCGCCGAGCACGTGCAACTCTATCAGGCGGCCCTGCGCAACGGCAAAATGTGGGCGTTCAAAAGTGAGTCTGTTGCCAATTTATTACAACTTATTGCAACTTAATACCAACTACGTAATACATACTATTATACTATTATACTTATTATACTATTCTTTAATCGGACCCATAGTCGTATAGTCTATAGAGTACCTATAATAATAGATCAGACTAAATTATTTCAATTTTCGATTGTCCACTTCCCACAAGTAGCTATACTGAGATTCAAAGATGTTATGCAATTTGTTATTGATTTTTTTTTTTGTCTTAAATCCCAATTAAAACTGTTTAAATTTAGTAAGCGAAGGGGGAGAGCTGTTATGCCCTCTTTCAAAATAAAAAGTAAAATGTACTTATTACGGTCTCTTACGTGAGTGTTAAAAATTAWTTCGGCWTTTCAGACGAATTTAAAAGGTTCTTTTAGTTTCAATGTTAGGACAAATTTATCTATTTTCAAACTTACTGAAAACGGAAATAACGACAGTCTTTTGTTGGAAATATTGTTTTTTTTTTTTACGTTTGATATAAATATGGGTGAGGCGTCCTCTTATAATATTTGAACGTAAGCGTTACATCAGTAAAGTAATCAATGGTTTACTTATGATAAGATATTGTTAACAACAATAATCAAACAAGAAAATCATTCACTCGAACCAACAAATTACTATCGAGTATAATTACGTATAATGATGTACGGTAATAAATGTATTAGTTTTATGAACCTATGTGCGGTCGTAAAATTTAGTTTTTTTTCCAAATGCATACTATTGCTCTTTATTCTAAATACACGATTTCATCRAAAGATATAAAAATAATAATTTTAAATTTTTTAGCATTATTTTTCGCAATTTTTAAAATATCTCAATTATGGTATAACTTTTTTCTCGTGACTTATGAAATTATGACATATAAATTATAATTTATAACTATTATGAGGAATTAAGTACCTACATCACGTTCTGAAAATGTTTGAAAGATTATAAAATATACTAAATACGTATTTATATTACAAATTATTACTAAAATAATGGTATACAAAAATAAAAATATATAGCCATCCTATTCGAAACTTATTTATAATTTTTATTTTAATTCTTAATTTAACTATATAGTAGAAAGTTTTTAATCACATAAAYATTTATAAAACTTAATGAACCTATCACATGTTTGATAGAAAGTTTTMGGACTTTATATAATACTAAACTTTAATGAGCCTTTATTGTCGTTTACATAAGTCTAGATTAAGATTTAAAAAAGTATAAATCTGTTGTGAACAATTTAAATATTTTATTAAATATTTTTTTTTTAATTTAGTTGGCATCTACTTTTGCTTTAAATAATATAAAATAGATTTTTTGTTTCTAAACTTTAAAATGATTTTTATCTACCCAAGGTTGATAATAGTAAATGTTAAGTAAGTATTTCAAATTTCCATATCTATAGATAAAAATGTTTTTTTAGTTATTCTTCTACTAATTATATTTAACTGTTTTATATAATATGTTTTTATTCAATATGTGCTCAAGTATACATCTAAGTATTGTAGGTACATCTTTTGTCGAAACTTTTTGGTGGTTGGAAATGTTTACCTTAATAAAACATAAAAAACTAAATATAAAAACTACAATGTGATAAAAACAATCATTGAATTAAATGAATATTTGTCATCGAAACTATTTTATAAGTAGTTTAGCAGTTAGGTACTATATAATAACTAAAATAATTTAACAATTATAAAAAATTATAATAGAACGACAATTGYATTTGTATAAAAAGGGTAAAAACCTTTTTTTTTTATGGACTAAATTGTTTCAATAAGAAAAGCTTAAATTATTTGAAAGTTGAAAACAATTTAAACGTTTAACGCTAGACTTGCGAACCATGATTAGAACACTGAACTTTAGGGGATAAATTTCTCGTATAAATCGAAGAAAATAAAACCACAATAAATAATCGAAAAATGTTATATAAATTTTAAAACATTTGTATTTATGTGTTTTTTATTGTTATTCTGTCGCCTTGGCTGAATTAACACACTAGCTTTTTCCGCGTTCATCAAACAAGATGAGTGACCTGAAATAATACAAAGTMATATTAAAATTAATCTATACTTCTATATAATTTATGTAGTGTTAAAGATAGAGGAAACAATATAATAATAAATGGTTAACAGCTGCAATGGTATACAATATACATTTATTTTAAAGGTTCGTAAGTAGTCATTACTGCAAACTCATATATTATAATTATAAGGATCGTTTAGTGAAAGAGNTGTGTCACTAACTAATTTTAATAGATCCTCAGTTGGTTCTTCTGACATAAATATTTCACTTAATCCACTTATAATATCCATATGATTTTCTTTAAATCTATTTTCCATTTCTTGTATTATTACATCTAAAACTTTAAAGTAAATGGTAATGCGGTAATTGTCCTTAACTAGGATACTATTTGACTGTTTTTCACCACCACCTAAAACAATCATATCGAGTTCAATCACTTCAATAGACACTGATTTATTCTAGTCCATAAAGTAGCACTTATTTTGTTTTTTCAATTATACCAAAAAATATATATTTAGACGTTTAGGTCATCGGCCATTGCGACTTTATGTAATATTATTATAGGTCACTATAATCGCACAATACAAAAATATGATATGTATAATTCAATCGGATCTCTAATGACAAAATAATAGATTGGATAATATTATCATTGTCCAACTATTGTGTCATAGCCATATGGATGCATAATATGATATTTGGAATCTCAGATGAAGTCGAATACGTATGGCTAATATACAATATTTAACAAGTCAATTTTAAAGTTCTTGAAAATWTCGATATGATGAAAACTCTCCAAACGTTAGAAGTTTGTTTTTCTGCAAAAGATTTAAAATAATCACGTTGAAATGTATACTATTTACTAAAAATACTTTATTATAATTTATAGAGTCCGACATCTGTCAGCTATAATATTTAATAATTTGTATAAAACGTTATACATGTATACATTTTAGAAATTATAATTATAAATTGCTGTATAAACTGATAATTAAATTCTTCGCTTTAATTTGAGTATATGACCGCCACTTGGGTAAAATTATGATRAGAGGTTTAAAACGTCCATAAAAATAGTTGCCTATCTGTATATATAAGAAAAACTTAACCCCTGAACGGACTTAAGGGACTATGRGAACTTCTTGGCCCCCGTTTCGATTTGAACATAAAGGATAGTATTGTAATTTTTAGATAGATATCAGCAAAACAAATGTGGCCTAGACAAACAAATAATAAGGCCTCGTATTTTTATTTCTCAAGCCTTTCCTCCCCCTCCTAAAATATACACGGTATCATAACATACGCGTCATCTGGTCGGAAATCACATGCTACAAAGCAGTGATGTCATCGTCTCGTCTATTGGTTGTGACGTCATAGAACTGCAAAAGTGTGTGCTAGCGATGTGTCGGAAAATCTAAAACGAATTGAAAACAAAACAAAAACAAAAAAAAATACAGAAAAACAAAAACAAACTCCGCTTTTAATCGTGAATATTGTAATAAGATATATAGGTATAATACGAGTGTATTATGGAAACGACTTCGCTGAAACCGATCACAATTTAACACTTATAATAGTACTATTGAATGTGACCGTCCGCGACCCGTCGCCGTGGGTAATTCGATTTTCGTGGGTCGGACGGGTTGGGAAATCGAAAGTGTGGCCAATTAACAAGGACCCAATTTTATTTCAAATGGCGCGTGTCACAGTCGTCATCACGGTCAGTGCGTATAATACGTACTTATATATAACTCTTTTTTTTTGTGCTGTGCAGCGGCGCCATTGCATATAGGTAGGTACGTATATTCGACGCGAATCGAACGCGATTCGACATACGATTAAATATAGGCACTATAGGTAAATTATATTATAAGACAATATATAATGTTATAGGTAATATGTAGTTATTAATAGTAATATACTAATATTGTATTATTATATATCGCATAATATACCGAGTTACCTATTTAACGTACGACACTCGTTGTTTTAAAAACTATCAACGTTTTTGAAAATATTTTTTTGTTTTACACGATCTCAAGTCGTTAAAATACAAATTTCCTAGTAAATAAGGTTTTTAACTATTTTTACTACTTTTTTCTAATCAAAACATTCGTTTTTAATTCCTCATTCTAAAGCAAAATATATTATTTGTATAGTACCTATACTTAGATATTACATAAAAATCAAATCTTTAACAAGTGTGTATCTTATGAGTTATAAGTATTTAAWGTAATAATAATAATAAAGCGTATTTATATGCTAAATAATAATATACTTGAAGGTATTAATCATTTATGTTCCTTTAAATTATAATATGTTTTAAAAATTTGACAGTCTCAAATACTCAAATTATTACTATTTTTTTATTTTAAGCTCCAGGCCATTTTCTTTGATTATTAATGGGATATAAGTCCTACGCYCATTAGATATTTAAATATTTCGATCTCCAGTAGTTTGACTAATGCATACGTACAAACAGTGGGTACATTACTAGCTATTTTGGTTTTTGACTTAAATTTACAACACGGAAATTAATTATTTTGCCAGAAAGCTGTAATGAATAATTTTTGATGACATCAAATACCTACCCTGATATCAATAATATAATAAATGCGGTTGAAGATTAATAATTTCATATCGAATTCAAAATTACGAAATAACATTCAATTTGTGTGTAACGAGTAAAAAACGATTTTTTGAATATTTTTAACGTATAATTACAAATTATAGGTATCTTATATCTATAATTCATATATACATTGTACCTACATGGCTAAATACCATTATTATCATACTATATAAATTCTGAGCTTTTATTGCATATTTCTCATTGGCCTATATGGCTATATGAAAGTAATCAAGAAGCCAATTTATCAAAATTCTATAACCTACTTCAGATCACATGTATTACACCGTAGAAATGTCAGACAATATACTTGACATCATAACACAGGAATTCTT